ACCCCCTTCAAACAGCCCCATAGCCCCCTCCCCGGTCCTCAGGACATCCCAAACCCCCCCCCCCGACACCTCAAAACCCCTCAGGACCCCCCAAACCCCCTTCAAACAGCCCCATAGCCCCCCCCCCCCCGGGTCCTCAGGACACCCCAACCCCCCCCTGACACCCCAAAACCCCTCAGGACCCCCCCAAACCCCCTTCAAACAGCCCCATAGCCCCCCCCCGGTCCTCAGGACACCCCAAACCCCCCTCGACACCCCAAAACCCCTCAGGACCCCCCCAAACCCCCTTCAAACAGACCCATACCCCCCCCCCCGGTCCTCAGGACACCCCAAACCCCCCCCCCCGACACCCCAAAACCCCTCAGGACCCCCCCAAACCCCCTTCAAACAGCCCCATAGACCCCCCCCCGGTCCTCAGGACACCCCAAACCCCCCCCGACACCCCAAAACCCCTCAGGACCCCCCATAGCCCCCTTCAAACAGCCCCATACCCCCCCCCCCAGGTCCTCAGGACACCCCAAACCCCCCCAGACACCCCAAAACCCCTCAGGACCCCCCATAGCCCCCCCCAGACCAGGCTCTGCTGCCGCTGCTGCTCCTCCATGATGCCGACCGAAGCCAGACCGGGGCTGAGCTGCTGCCCTGGCAGCTATGGGGTGGAGGGGTTGGGGGGTGAGGGTGATGTGGGGGGACCGGGGCCCCCCCAAACCTCCCTATGGGGGTCCCCCTCCACCCTTTACCTGTGGTTGCACCCCCGAGGCCACGGGGAGGGCCCCCGGCTGCTTGGGCAGGAAGGAGGCGGCTGCAGGGACGGGGGCTGAGCCCCCCAACTGTGGGAGAGAGCAATGGGGTGAAGGGGGGGGGGGGCAGAGAACACCCACCCCCCCCAACCGCTCTATGGGTGCCATAGGAGCACTATGGGTGCTCTATGGGTGCTGCACCCGCTTGCGGCCGGTGGTGACCTGGCAGAGGCCATTGTGCTCTATGGGTGCTATGGATGCTCTATGGGTGGTATCTGTGGCATGGGTGCTCTATGGGTGCTGTGTGTGCCATGGGTGCTCTATGGGTGCTACGGGTGCACTATGGGTGCAGTGTGTGCTGTGGAAGCTCTATGGGTGCTACGGATGTTGTATGGGTGCTATAAATGCCCTATGGGTGCTACAGATGCTCTACGGGTGCTGTGTGTGCCACGGATGCTCTATGGGTGCTATGGATGCTCTATGGGTGCTATGGATGCTCTAGGGGTGCTACGGATGTCCTGTAGGTGCTACAGATGCTCTATGGGTGCTGTGTGTGCCATGGATGCTCTATGGGTGCTACAGATGCTCTATGGATCTTCTTTGGGTGCTATGGATGCTCTATGGGTGCCGTGTGTGCTGTGGAAGCTCTATGGGTACTATGGATGTCGTATGGGTGCTATAAATGCCCTATGGGTGCTACAGATGCTCTACGGGTGCTGTGTGTGCCATGGATGCTCTATGGGTGCTATGGATGCTCTATGGGTGCTGTGTGTGCTATGCATACTCTATGGGTGCTATGGATACTCTAGGGGTGCTACGGATGTCCTGCGGGTGCTATAAATGCTCTATGGGTGCTATGGATGCTCTATGGGTGCTGTGTGTGCCCTATGGACTCTGTGTGAGCTAAGGATGCTCTACGGATGCTCCGTGGATGCTCCATGGGTACCATGACGAGGATGTGGATGCTGTGGGTGCTCTGTGAGTACCATAGGGATGCTGTGGGTGCTCTATGGGTACCATAGGGATGCTGTGGGTGCTCTATGGGTACCACAGGGATGCTGGGGGGGCTCTGTGGGTACCATAGAGATGCTGTGGCTGCTCTATGGGTACCATAGGGATGCTGTGGGTGCTCTGTGGGTACCACAGGGATGCTGGGGGGGCTCTGTGGGTACCATAGGGATGCTGGGGGGGCTCTGTGGGTACCATAGGGATGCTGTGGGGGTTCTATGGGTACCATAGGGATGCCGGGGGTGCTCTATGGGTACCATAGGGATGCTGTGGGTGCTCTGTGAGTACCACAGGGATGCTGTGGGTGCTCTATGGGTACCACAGGGATGCTGGGGGTGCTCTGTGGGTACCACAGGGATGCTGGGGGTGCTCTGTGGGTACCATAGGGATGCTGGGGGTGCTCTGTGGGTACCATAGGGATGCTGTGGGGGCTCTGTGGGTACCACAGGGATGCTGTGAGTGCTCTGTGGGTACCATAAGGATGCTGTGGGGGCTCTGTGGGTACCATAGGGATGCTGTGGGGGCTCTGTGGGTACCATAGGGATGCTGGGGGTGCTCTGTGGGTACCATAGGGATGCTGGGGGTGCTCTGTGGGTACCACAGGGATGCTGGGGGTGCTCTGTGGGTACCATAGAGATGCCGGGCGTGCTCTATGGGTACCACAAGGATGCTGTGGCTGCTCTGTGGGTACCATAGGGATGCTGTGGGTGCTCTGTGGGTACCATAGGGATGCTGGGGGTGCTCTATGGGTACCATAGGGATGCTGTGGCTGCTCTATGGGTACCATAGGGATGCCGGGCGTGCTCTATGGGTACCATAGGGATGCTGTGGGTGCTCTGTGGGTACCATAGGGATGCTGGGGGTGCTCTGTGGGTACCACAGGGATGCTGTGGGGGCTCTGTGGGTACCATAGGGATGCTGTGGCTGCTCTATGGGTACCATAGGGATGCTGTGGGTGCTCTATGGGTACCACAGGGATGCTGTGGCTGCTCTGTGGGTACCATAGAGATGCCGGGCGTGCTCTATGGGTACCACAGGGATGCTGTGGCTGCTCTGTGGGTACCATAGGGATGCTGTGGGTGCTCTGTGGGTACCATAGGGATGCTGTGGGTGCTCTGTGGGTACCATAGGGATGCTGGGGGTGCTCACCGCGCGCTGCTGGTCCAGCTTGTGCTGCTGCACTTGCTTGTGGTTGGTGATGACCTGGCGGATGCCGTTGACGAAGCCGCTCTGGTCGTAGGGGATGAGCCCCATGAAGATCTTCTTCTTGGAGGAGTAGAGGAGCATCAGGACACGCACATCACATGGGGCTGTGTGCGGGAAGTGCACGCATCCCGCCTGGAACACGAGAGAACACGCTAAGGACACGCTATGGGCATGGTAAGGACACGCTATGGACATGGGACATGGACACAGGACATGGGAACACACAGCTGGGCCATGGGGACACCGGGATGGGGGCTGGGGACAGCCTTGGTGGGTGGAGGTGGGATCCCCAATTGGGTTTTTGGGGTCCCCAATGGTGTCTTTGGGGTCCCTGGGGTGGATTTTGGGGTCCCCAGTGGTGTTTCTGGAGTTCCTGAGTGGGTTTTTGGTGTCCCCATTGGTGCTTTTGGGACCTCCAATGGGGTTTCTGGGGTTCCTGGGTTGGTTTTTGAGGTCCCCAATGGGTTTCTTGCGTTCCTGGGTTGGTTTTGGGGTCCCCTATGGCATCTTTGGGGTCCCCGTTGGTGGGTTTTTGGATCCCCAATGGGTTTTTTGAGGTCCCTGGGTGCCTTCTTGGGTCCCCAGTTGAGGTTTTGGAGTCCCCAGTGGTGGTTTTGGGGTACCAGGGATGGTTTTTGGTGTCCCCAATGAGTTTTTGGGGCCCCTGGGTTGGTTTTTGGGGTCCCCAATTCGGTTTTTGGGGCCACTAGGTTGGTTTTTGGGGGCCCCAATGGGGTTTGGGGGCCCCAATGGTGGTTTTGGGGTCCCTGGGTTGGTTTTTGGGGTCCCCAATGAGTTTTTCGAGGTCCCTCGGTTGGTTTTGGGGGTCTCTGGGTTGGTTTCTGGAGTCCCCAGTGGGGTTTTTGGGGTCCCTTGGTTGGTTTTTGGGGTCCCCAATGGGGTTTTGGTGTCCCCTGGGTTGGTTTTTCGGGTCCTCAATGGGTTTTTGGGGGTCCCTGGGTTGGTTTTGGGGGTCTCTGGGTTGGTTTTTGGGGTCCCCAATGGGGTTTTTGGGGTCCCTGGGTTGGTTTTTGGGGTCTCTGGGGTGACTTTTGGGGTCCCCAATGGGGTTTTGGGGGCCCCTTAGTTGGTTTTTAGGGTCCCCAATGGGGTTTTGGGGGCCCCTGGGTTGGTTTTGGGGGTCTCTGGGTTGGTTTTTGGGGTCTCTGAGTTGGTTTTTGGGGTCCCCAATGGGGTTTTGGGGCTCTCTGGGGTCCTTACGAAGCCGTTGCCCATGATCCTGTAGAGGCCTTTGAGCGACTCCAGGTCCTTGTTGGTGAAGTGGAACTGAACCATGCGGGAATTCCGGAAGAGCGGCCCCAGCGTGGTCTGGAATTAGGGGGGGGCATTGAGATGTGACCCCATCCCCCCCCCCCAGGGGTCAGGGACACCCCAAAACCCCCTTTGTGGGGGGGTGTGCGTTAAAATCACTCCCAAACCCCTTTAGGAGCCCTAAGAGGGCTTTGGGGATGGACTTGGGGGTCCCAAGCCCCATAGGGGTGTTGGAGGGGGGGCATTGACACCCCCCCAGTGAATGAACCCCAATATGGCACACACACACACACACTCACCAGGAGCTGCTGTGGGATCAGCTGCATGATGAGCTTCTGAGGCCATTGGTCTGTCTTGCTGGGGTGGGGGGGCAGGAAAAGGGGGTGATTTGGGGGCTCCCCCCCCCAAGCCTTTGCCCCCCAACCCCCCCAGGCCCCACTTACAGGTTCTCACCAGCGTTCACATAGACCTGGCAGGGCAGGGACCGTGTCAGCTTCGTGCTGGAGTCAACGGAGGCGGGTTTGGGCTTCTGGGGGGGGGGGCACAAAGGGGGTGATGGGGGTGCACAATGGGGGTGATGGGGGTGCACAATGGGGGATATAGGGGGGTTATGGGGGGGCAGAAAGGTGGTGATGGGGGGCACAATGGGGGTGATGGGGGCACACAGAGGGTGATGGGGGAGTTATGGGGAGCACAATGGGAGTGATGGGGTTTATGGGGGGCACAATGGGGGTGATGGGGGGCACAATGGGGGTGATGGGGGCAGAGAGGGGGTTGTGGGGGAGCACAAAGGGGGTGATGGGGGGGTTATGGGGGGGCACAATGGGGGTGATGGGGGCACAAAGGGGGTGATGGGGGCATAAAGGAGGTTATGGGGGGAACAATGGGAGTGATGGAGGGTTTATGGGGGGCACAATAGGGGTGAGGGGGGGTTATGGGGGGCACAATGGGGGTGATGGGGGGGTTATGGGGAGCACAAAGGAGGTGATGGGGGGAACAATGGTGGTGATGGGTGGGCACATAGGGGGTGATGGGGGCACAATGGGGATGATGGAGGGTTATGGGGAGCACAAAGAAGGTGATTGGGGGGCATAAAGGAGGTGATGGGGGTTATGGGGGGGCACAAAGAGTGTGATGGGTGCATAAAGAGGGTTATGGGGGTCCCCCTCTTGCACCCCAAGGGGATTGAAACAGTCCCAAGGGCACCCATAGGCATTGCATAGCACCCACAGGCACCCCAGAGCACAAACAGACACCCTCATAGCACCCACTGACCCCCCCATAGCACCCATAAGCTCCCCATAGCACTCACAGACACCCAGCAGCACCCACAGGACTCCCCCCAACACCGCAATACCCCGCCAGCATCCAAAGACCCCCATAACAACCATGGACCCCCCCCCCATAGCACCCACTGACCCCCCATAACAACCATGGACTCCCCCCTTAGCACCCACTGACCCCCCCATAGCACCCACTGATCCCCCCATAGCACCCATAGACCCCCCACAGCATCCATTGACCCCCCAAAACAACCATGGACCCCTCCCCAGAGCACCCATTGACCCCCCCACAGCACCCACTGACCCCCCCATAGCACCCGTTGACCCCCACACAGCACCCATAGACCCCCCCATACCACCCACAGACCCCCCCATAGCACCCACTGACCCCCCCACAGCACGAATAGACCCCCTATAGCACCCACTGACCCCCACACACACCCATAGACCCCCCCCACAGCACCCATAGACCCCCCATAGCACCCACTGACCCCCCCACAGCACCCATGGGTGCCCCCCGCTCACCTCCTGCCACTCCAGGACCCCACTCCAGGCCAGGACCTTGTTCCCCACGGGCTGGGGGGGGCCAGGGAGGGGGGGGGCACCTCCCAGGGAGGGGGCAGCGGCCTGGGGGGGGGCAGCATTGGGGGGGCCCCCACTGGGCTATGGGGGGGAGAATGGGGGGGGTGTCAGGGGCTGCACACCCCCCATAGAACACATTGGGACCCATTTAAATACCCCCCCCCCATGCAACCCCATGGGGCTGGACCCCCCCAATATCTCCATGCACCCCTATGTGGCTGGGACCCCCCTAATATCCCCCCCCCCATGCACCTCTATGGGGCTGGAATCCCCCTAAAAGCCTCCCCATGTTCTCCTATGGGGCTGGACCCTCCCAGCCCCCCCTCCATGCACTCCTATGGGGCTCGGACCCCCACAAAAGCCATCTCCATGCACCCCCAGTATTCCCCCCCCCATGCACCTCTATGGGGCAGCGACCCCCCCCAAACGCCCCCCCCCCCCCCGCACACCTATGGCCCTGCACCCCCCAATATCACCCCCCATGCACCTCTATGGGGCTGGGACCCCCCCAATATCCCCCCTCCATGCACTCCTATGGGGCTCAGACCCCCAACCCCCCCCATATACCCCTATGGGGCTGGGCCCCCCCAGTATTCCCCTCCCCATGCTCTCCTATGGAGCTTGACCCCCCTCAAACCCCTCTCCATGCACCCCTATGGGGCTGGGACCCCCCAGAACCCACTGTTCTGAACCCTCCCATACATCCCTATGGGGCTGGGACCCCCCCCGTGCATCCCTATGGGCCCCCCCCTCGTACCATAGTGGGGGCCGGGGGCTGCGGTGGGGCCTGGCCGGCGGCGGGGGGGGGCAGGAGCCCCGCGGGGGGGGGCGGGGGGGGCCCCCCCTGTCCCGGGGGGGGCAGCTTGGGGGGGCCGAGGGGCTGGGCCTGGGGCTGCGGGAACGGCGGCTGCAGGGGGGG